TCGACAAATGCTCACCAGAATTACAATGATTTATATGCAATGCTTTGAGTTTTACGTCCGTAAAACTGCTGTTAGGTATTACGGCAAGCAACGAATCTACCCGAAATAAAGCGATATTGTATGAATGAACTGTTTATCGGCCCGTATAGATATTCGGAACGCTGACTTTAAAATAAGAACTGTGTTGGAAATTAAACAAAACGTGTGTTGGAAAACGTTAGCGAACGTTAACGGATTGCAACGAGCCCGCTCAATTTTGAATATGGCTTGAGAAAGTCCACGAGACATTTGGACGATATTAATTGGCCATCTGCCTAGCTAAGTTACATAACGTTTGATCTATCATATCGATTGATCTGAATCCTAATTGTTTCAACACGTTATGGATGTAGTCACTGTATTGATACACCTGCATCTACAAGCACTTATTACTCATATATATTACACGTGTGCTTTTCTTCTAAACTGTCGAACTTTTCCGTAATGGTAGACTTGAATTTTATCATATCTCAGGCGTACCCTGTCTTCCTCTTTAATGCTTGTGTTACGTCCTTTTTAATTAAGACAACCTATTGAAAAGGAACCAAGACACACGTGCCGTCGTAGTCCTTGAGAAATAGTCAGGTTGCAATATTATAAATGTTCCAAGAACGAGCGAGATCATGTGATGATATGAGTAGACGACCGATAACCCGACGTGATCAGAGCTCTACGTCGAAAACAACAAAAATCTAGTCGCATCTTCCATCGGAGAATAATTTCGAAATTGTTTGCTAGGAGAAGGTCCTGTTGGTTTTCTAGCTTAAGGCTGCTACGACCGATATTTTAATGGCAAATGTTGTAACAACCTGAAAGGGCGCATATCTTACAACGTTTTCTCTATAATTATTATTAACTTAACACACTTGATAACTGACGAGGTCCCCTCTACGATAGGCATTGGGACAACAATGAAATGCTGTCTCCAAATCATGTTGCGATAAAAGTTTAATAGAAGGAGGCAGTCTAAAGCCAGCGATGGGTTCCTGTACTGACATATCGTCTTTTCTATTTTGAATTTTACTGGTGGCTTGAAGTGGGTCTCCACACGCACCCAAACCTTTCTGTCTTCCGAGTTTTACGTCCAGTATTGTCTTTGGACGTCCCATCAGACGATTGACTCCCACCACAAAACGAACCTAGACCACAATATGTCTCTAAGATTAGCAGGCAAATACGTTACCCGCCAGGTTATAACGGGAACCCGAACTTAGGCCATATCAACTGTCGGTAAGATCAATAGGTAAATACGCTAGAACTGCACCATCGTACTGCTTAGGTGCGATGCCGGATATAATGCAAATTTGAACCAGCAAAAAACGGTAATGATTCCGGTTAGATCTATTCGTTAAAAAAATCTATTTGCTACGTTCTGATGAGTTCAGTCTCTAGCAGCGAAATATCGGGGTCTCTGTCAAAAAGCTTTATGGTACGGCGCACCGCTCGAAGAGAAAGAAGTTCTTGCAAAAACGTACGACATATTCACACTATATAGATGTTTTAACTCGTTGCAGCTGATTGTACTTTGGAGTCATGTGAAATTGAGCTACTTCCCTGCAGGAAACAAATGATGCTACAGTATTTAAAGTAAACAGGTCTTATTGCTTAACCTATTTATTAAATCGCAAATTTAGTTTTCAGATTCCCAAAGGGGTAGCACTAGCGATCAGCTGATAGCATGAACTTTGTAATTGTTTTCTCCATAATACATAAGATTAGTTTACAAGCACGCTCTTCAAACATATGAATATCTAAATGATTTAAAACTTGGGTTTAAAATTTTAAAATGGGAAAATTTAAAATTTTACTGCCTTAACATAGATTTGATTGCACGGCGGATCATTTCGACGTCAAGTGAGACAGGTCCACAAGACACGTCTTGTTTTTGTTAATTAATATATATTAATTAATAGTTTTTGTTAGGTGCTATAGATCTGACATACGGCTAACTACCGATAGGCGTCTGCATTCACCATCAACGGTACTGATCCCTTACGATAATAAAGTCCGGGAGCCTGATTTTCGGTGCGGTTATTTTACATGCATTTGTAGATTTATAGTTTAGACAGCCAGGTTGAGTTATACGAGCAATTATGAACAGGGGGTTTCGTAGTTGTTTCTGTTAGCCCTCTAGTCATCTTCGGATTGCCTCCAGTTGCCGGGTTGTGGTCGAAGGCTAGGAAAAGGTGTCGCGAAATAGTCTTATTATACTTTTCTTTTCAGATGGCTCGCCTGTTTGTGAATATCGTACACGATAGAATATTGTAAGTATGAATGATAATAATAATAACAACAACAGCCAAAGAACCGTTTCGCATAACAAAGCCATACTTTCTTGAAGGCTTATATGTTGCGTTACACGATTTCAAATCGTAAACAGTCGGCTCTACTTTTATTGCCTAGAACTACACGCGTATAAATACTGATGAATTGTTTAATTGAAATTGCTTTGTAGCTATGGTCGTGTCGACATTTTTGATACCTAGCAAATTCGGACACTTAGCGTATATTAGTTTTTCAGTGTTGATAAAAGTACTGATCAATTTTTTTAACTGAAGATACATTTTATTGACTTGACCGGATTAGAAGAAGTAAACCAATATAATAATACTTAGGTTAAACCATACATACATACATACAACTTCCTCTTGTTTATGGTTCTTAGCGGGAGTGACGTGAGCGACCCTTTCTGCCGACATTCTGATATCATGACAGTGTACTTATCATCAGTTTCATTAGCAGCATTCATATTGCAAAAATTCTGCACAGAATCCATTGCCTGATCGTTAGGAAGCAGACTGGTAACTATCTGCAATTTTTTTCTTTACTCGTATTGCTTAAAAGCAAACAATTTTTTTTCTAATCGCTGCTTAATTTAACTCGTCAACAGATTAAGCTGGGTATCGGTGGACGCAGCTAGAAATGTAAGTCATTCATGCCTTTAGTGTGAACAGGTCTGAGCATGCCCTGAATCGAACTAGGAGATCATCCTTAACATTTTTAGAAAAAAAAAAATCTGCTGACCCGTAACTACAGCGCCGTGGAACACATGAGGACACCGTACGTCCGCCGGCCATCGCTTGTCCTCTACGCACTAAGGGAACCGGCTACCCTAGCCTTATTACCTTAGCCTTCCAAGTGCACGTACTATTCGTTGGCACTGCAAATATGATTTAGGTATTTATTTTTATGGAAGTATATAATGTGTGCTGTTGTAGAAGGATCAATTTAATTCACCTGACTTTCGTAACCCGTTTACTATACAGACTTCGTAGGGGATCGTTCGACTACAAGATATCAAAGTGTTTGATGAAATGTCACTGTCGGCAATGGTGATCTCTACTAATTGAAACGCTTTAAATAAAAAGTGTGTACGAAGGGCAATACAAAGCGATTTTTCCTTGATCATTCGGTGTATACAAGCAAGACTTAAGTCTATTTTCCTTTTGCTTCAGCTATAGAGCTGCCAGTGACGCTCGCCTACACAATTCACTACTTTTGCATGTCGAATCGACCCGAAGTGTGGTGGTTTCCGGCTCTTTATTCGAGTATGCTACCCATCGATGGATAGCTACTGCGAACTGTGTTTGATAGCTGAAGCACAAAAGCCATGAAGATAGATAGACGCTCGACGCTGACAACAATCCAGGAAACGAAAGGCGGAACGCTTTCGCTCTGCTCTCCCTTTTGCTGATGACGAGATTAAAGAAAGCTTTTCTTACTTATGTGAAATTTGTAACTTGTTGTAGCGGGATCAGGACCATCTAACTTGGTATCGATTACGGCAGGTCTATTAAACCAAAAATCGGCAATACTTGATATCGTCACTATACGCAAAACGCGCTTGAGTTGAAAAAAGGTAACTCAGTTTGTGTAACTCTTGTAGGAACATTGAACGTATGATACGACGAAGCTAGTTTAGAAAGTGGGAATTTTAATTGTTCAATATTTTTCCTAGGTATATCGATGCGTTTTCTCTGATCATTGGCACCTTGACGTTATTTCATAGGTCGTTAGTATTAAGATAAACGTGTTGTTTTTTATTATTATATTTTTCATCGTCGCTTAAATCTATCCGGCGCAATGGACTTCCCCCACAAGCATGAGAGTCGTTAGAGTAATGAACTTAAATTTATGTTCGTTACACCCGTTGCGGCAGTGATTACCAATAATGTCGTTCCAATCTCAACCTGGATCTAGTAGAATTCAACTATCCTCGAAGAAGATCGTTAAACTGGATCCTAGAGCGAAGATAATTGTTCTTTTGAATGCGATAAAGTAGCCATGGCTACTATCTGACCTCAATGGAGTGTGCGTTTCCCACGGTCTGTCGATGAAAGTGTGTATTCTCCACGATTACAAGGTCAGGTTATCAAATAATCTTAATAACCGTTGATTCCGCGAACTACAAAGCGCCTCGCTTCACATCACTTATAAAGATTCTGCGAGTACCTGCTGTTTTAAGAAAACGAAAAAAAAAAAAAACGAACTAACGAAAAACGATGATAATACCTAGATTTCCCACATTTCAAAAAGATGGCAGATATTTTTTTCGGCCATATTTTTGAAAAAAAAAACAAATGAATCACTTTGGCGGCTCGTTTCATAGGGTAACGACGAGCGCAAGCGAAAAAAGGCTTTCGCCACGTAACGTACACGTATAGTTTGTCTATATTTTTTTGCAGATCCGATCAGTGACATCACACACCGACACACAGACTTTTACTGCTTAAAACAACTAGCCCAGTTGTTTTTAGCTTCAAGTTCACACGTAAAGAATTATTTCGAAGGAAAGAGAGGTACAAAAAACTGCCAACGGGACATTATAGGTGCTTAGGTACAAGCTCTAAACGACACGAAAAATTAGATGTGTCGTGGTGCCCAGTTATATATATATGAAGCATGGTTCTATGACGACGCGTATGTCTACTCAACTTGGGGATACGTGAGAGGATCGCGGTTCGAAACCGGGCGTAGACACGCTTTGTTTCAAGCGATGCCTTTCGAACGACGCTTAACGCCAGTTCCGGAGGCAAATCTCGAAACATTTACTCGCAATAACGAAAACGCACACACGATCTGTGATTGTATAACCTTGGATTAGATGTACGCGACACCGTTCAGCGAGCGAGCGAGCGAGCGACCACTCGAACGAATTTTGTACTGGAGCTGGTTTTCGCATGACAACGTTGAGTCATAGTATATGGCTAGACATTTATCCTTGGAGAAAAAAGAAGTCAATAGAATAATCCAAAGCGTTACAGAACTAAAGTGTGGTAATATCACGTGAGAATTTCAGCCGCTTCGTGCCGTCGAAGGTGTTAAAAAAGAAGCGGAGTGACATGCCCGTTCTCAACAACTGAGTATTTTCGGGACCCAAAATGGATCCAAGAAATTTACTCTTCCCCTAATTTATCTTGTTTGCGTCAGCTCGAAGGAAACGACCGTCGCAACAACGATCAGCAACACTTCGCCATGCCGACGGTATGAATATGATGTAATTGTTTAAGTAAATCTTTCTGTGCACCAGTCGAACAGAATCAGTTTGTTCCTTTGTTCCATAGAAGTAAGAAATGATCTAAGCGAACAGATTAGTACGATTAAACAGATAGCATATAGATGCCGGCAAGAAACATTGACTTTGCTTTAGATTGAACTCTTTGGTAAGATGTTGGAAGCAAATATGTCTCTAACCGGTAGCCTATTTTCGTTTAGCGATGTTTGTCATTCGACTGGCTGTTCGCATTTCTAATATTTACACATAAACTTACCTAAGTTTAATAAAGTGACAGTCATTAACGAAAAAACAAAGAACTAGCTGAAAATGTGACAACGCAGATCGGATGTTGCAGGGTGTCCGTACAATGGGGAAATAGTTACAATGAGACATTTGAAAAGTCGCGCGCAATTGTTGCTCCAAAGCAACGGGAAAGGTTGTCCCGGTTTAACGCGGGTACGCAAATAGTGCTTGTTCAATAGTGACCACAAATTCAGCCATTCAAAACGAACGGCTGGAAGTCAAGAGGTCCTATTGAGACAGCTAGCTATGCTGTGTGAACCCATAGCGAAACCCAAGATGGAAGATGAATGCAGTAGTAGCAAAAGGGACAATGAGACGCATAACACAAAGGAACATAGTCCGATGTCCACAATGTCCAGCTTTTTCTTTTTTTTTCCCTTCTACTGCAAATCTTGTCGGCGACGTTATCTTGGAAAAGAAGCGAATTGAGCTTTGCAGTTTGAATTTTAGATGTTATAAAAAGCACAAGGTACTCTTACAGATAAGTGTGGGACTCCAGTATGATTTGCAGCAATTGTTATTTCTGCTTATTCATGACTGCCGTTTTTGTGCTTGTATATTCTATATATAGATATTGATTTTTAGTTAAGCGTATTATTTAGTTAATTGGGTTCAAAAAATAGACTTTGATTGATTGAATGAATTTAAGACAGGTGCCGCACTGGTCATGGAGTACTCGACATAAATCTCTGAGGCGATCTGAGAGTGCTCAACCACAGCTCATCCATTCACGATCGCCTTATTTTGTTTCGTCATTAAACAGAGATGGTTACTTTGATCTTAAAACGGTTTTACTATTAGTTTGCTATATTTCCATTGATGATCCCCACGCGTGCGCTGGAAACCAGGACGCGACTGGGCGTCCTTCGATCGAGACAAAATCGCACACGGGGTTTTTTGGTGTTTTTTTGAAAGGTCGAAAAATCTTGTTCTACATATTACCAATGCATATCGAAAAATATAAATGATAGATTCATTTTAAAAGAAGCACCATCTTATAATTTTTTCATCTTCTGCCCCACTTTATGGTCCATACGTTTAACGTTATCTATTAGTTGGCTTCTAAATGGTACGGTGCAATAATCTTCACAACTGCAAGATATCGGAAAGCTATAAGTAATGAAAAAATTAAAAATAGACAAACTACGATTTTAACTGGCTTATAGATAGTAATGGCCAACGAATTCACTGCTTTCGAATCCGTATATGGGCGCGAACGTACAACAAGTGGGACGTAGGAGCCTAGGTGTATAGTATTTCGGTAAATTCTTCAACTGGGATAAGATGTAATTTAGCAGTTTCCTATGTAGGAACGCTGCGATATGGACATAAGCGACGTAAAGACCGAATACTGTTACGGTTCCAAATCGTCAACAGCATCGTCGGACATTAGCTGTTATTATAGAGAAAATTTAGCGATTAATAGCTACAAATTTGAGAAGAGATTACCATAGCGTTTATCGAAGAACAAATTTCCATAAGACCTGTCTTCAACGCTGCCTAGGCCGGATAAATGCTGTGAAACGGCAACAACCAAGGGTAAACTCCGTATTGCTTGTTAAGTTACACAATCCTAAGGAACGTTAATCAAATTCGGTGCTTACAATGATAACAATTTTATTTCCCCTTATTCAGAGAATACCGCACACATTTGAACAAAAACCGGAAAAAAAAATTATAATAATAAAGTATTTCACTAGACGTCAGATTGAATTTCTGTATTAGCAACCTTTCACGGTAATTGATATATACTATTACTACAAATAAAAGTTTTTTTTGACAAACATCTGAGGTATTTCATTCGTGCCAGAGGCCATCCGTCTCGAGCAATGCTCAATAGCAATACCATACGTAAAACTCGAAATCTTTAAGGCTGGTGTGCTCCTTTGGAGCAGGCTGTAATCAGATCAGGTTATAAGCGTAACTGCTCGTAAGATATTCAGGTTCAGTCTACATGTATCAGACTATAGTATGCCTTAGCAAACGTTTTCTTTCAAAGTTGATAAGATACAAGCCCACTATATGCACGCGGCTTCATTTTAAACCTAGTATTTTTTCTTTCTAGAATAATTTTTAGTAAAAATTCACTAAATAACTTGCGCATAAATATTATAGAAGTATCTATCATTTACCGTAGACTATTTCTTCTGAAATCTGATAATATTCATTCTGTTCTGCTAGTTTACCAGCGAGGCAATTACCTTGGAGGCGTGGTACCCTGAAGTGACTCACTACGAACGCGCAACCTAATAATTTTAATAAGACAGTCTAAATAACCTTTTGATTATCATGCCAATAGTAGCTTTTATATATTGCTAACATTTCCGTAGATGCAATACGTTTTACTTTACTAGTTACAGTTAGAACTATATAACATAACGCGATGCGCGTCTTAGTAAATGTTCATTATAATGTATTCTCTCAATATTTGTGCCACTTAGTCTAAATAATACTCCGCTCCTAGACAAACAGCCTTTATAAAGTTTATGTAGCCGGTTTGTCGTAGATTATAATTGCTGCTAAAGATTAATATTGTCCCATAGATTAGGTTATGCAACATACTACAAATATTAACAGGTTGATTTATAGGTTTGACTACTACTTTCAAGCGTCACATCTAGCCCTGAACGCTCCTATAAATCTAACCCTCAAGCTGTTTATTGCACCAATGCATTCTTCCAAATAGATAGACACAGGTACATGAAGGTATGATATTATTATCGGGCGCCACAAAGAACAATAAGGAAAATTAAAAATCCATTTTTCTTTTTTTATTACCTCAGTAACGAGCAAGCCAAAATTGAATAAGTACTAAACTGACTGGTTTTTTGTTGATTAAGTGACCATTAAGGGTATAGGCGACATTGTAAAGAGACAACTGTGGTTTAGAATAATTAGAAAACACGCCTTTAACGTAGAGCGTAGGTTCACTTAAAAAAAAGTTTTTTGTAATACCCTGTGTTTGACAAACAATCCCGCATTGATATATGTTTAAATATCAACACACATTTCAGTGTTTCTTTTGTTTCGAAGAAATCTTTTATGGTTCTGCCATCTTTGTTTATAAAAACTCCACGAACTACAATTCTTACTTACGACTCACCGTATGGGAGACTAATTTGGCCATAATGTAAAACTACGTAGTGTTTAGTTGGGGTTAGATATCTATGTAGTTGAAAACGCGTTAACATGAATAGGTTTTAACATACGTTGCTTTTTTATTTAAGCAAATATATTATCGCAGATATTTTCTTTTTCTCGGTCTCGTTATCATTTCCGCTCCATCCTTTTCCGTCTCTCCGCTTTTTACCTTTTTTTTTTTATCTGGCATCGTCTGTCACCATTATTCTGTTTATTAGTAACGCCGTGTGGTGATTATGTTAGCGTGTCTTCTTTTCCTCGACAGTCTTCCATCCTCTTCACCTTAAAGTACCCAAAATCTTCCCAGTACGCCACTTACGGCGCGCGCTTTATATACATCCCAAATAATCCCGCCCAGTCAAATGATCACCCCACCCTATCCCATAGTCTTCCAATACCATTCCCAGAAAATCGCACGATTTTACATCGCTCATTGCCTTCCATATTTCAGCTTGTAAAGATTACAGTGCACCTATGCAATCAGCAGTCGGCACCCAAACGTTCTAAATTCTCTCTCCATTTTTATCTATTGCACATTGTATTCTATATATATATATGTATATATATATATATACGCTGTCTCTCTTTCATTTGGTATTATTTACGGTTGTGATAGTATCAGCAGACTACTGATAGTTGGTACTCTTATCTGCTTTTGTCAAAAAGAGAACCTCTTCTTCATTAATGGCCGCCAGATCTGACCGAGGCCGTCTGCTCACAGTTATGAATATATATATATATATATATATATATATATATATATATATATATATATATATAGTTTTCATTGCTTCGACCTTCGTGCTCAAATGCCTATTCATATAGAAGCAAATACAGCAAATGCGTCAATGTTTTTTTTTTTTTGTAATCACCGTCTCGTTCACGCTTGCGACATTTACCTTTGTCTAGTTCCCGCCTAAATTTTCCTCTGTGTGAAAAATGTGCCCTGCAGGACACATAATACAAAGACTAAGTACATATACAACAGAGGGTATAATTCGGTGGGAATAGCAACCACGCAGTGAGGTGTTCTCCAAAACAGTGAGTTTAGCACGGGCGGGACCTCTTCAAGTTCTTTTTAGTTACAAGTAATGTTCAGCTGGAACTTTTCGGTGGCTAGAATTCGAGAAGTTCCACGAATACTGTCAAACATTTATTTATTTATTTTGACTGTGATCGGCTAATTGCACAGATTTATTGGTAAGCATTACAACTTTACGCATCGGAAAGACCAAACTTCAGTTAGACAACTAGCCTGTTTCGGTTAAAACTTCACCACTTTTTTTTGACCTCACGAACGTTCGTCCCACTGAACAGAAAAAAAATAGGCTTTCTGTTGGGTCTCAGATTAACTGAAGTCTGTATGAAATGCTCTTTGCTAAAACTAACCTTGCAGCCTGTATGAGGTCAATTTCGTGTATTTCACTCGTTCGTTCCTCGATCGATATGCATTCAAGGAACAGACGCATCAAGCTGATGTACGCTATGTAATATAGATGTATATGTGTAAATATGTTTGTGTTGCTAATGAAGGATCAGGGAATGAAAGAAACCCCAGTTCTTCGTGGATTTCTCTCCAAGAAAGTTGATAACAGAACTTATTAATTTTTCATATAGAGTACAATACATGCTGAAATATTTTGCCTCCTATTTACTTCATATGAATGAACACATAGATACGAACTGTCCCGAGGAACCTAGGTCCCCCGCGATCTGTCGACACTCTTGAGAGTTCTTCAAGACCCTTCAGGTTTCAACATGCCTTCGGACTTCCCTCATTGATTTTCAGCCGTTGCTATGGTCGCGTTTTTTAGCAGTGTTATTTTCACGTCCCGTGTTCAGTCTTCTTTTCCGTAGCGGCTAGGCCTAACCTACCGGTTTCGCACTTTACATTCGCGTCCCTCGGTCCGGCTGGTGCTCGCTGACTTTGTTATTATTAGTGGGATGTTTCTGTATATGAATTGCGATTGATTGACTGATTCAGCTGGTTCAGCGTTGATTGCTTGAGTGATTATTTGATGAGTGTATAATGAACACTGTGAAATAGGTCTGTAACGTCATCATGTCATGTTGTCATCCCGTCGGGTTTCGCATGTGTTCAAAGTTATAATGGCGCGCTATGTACAGTCGGCATCGTCCTCGCCAATCAATGACACTCAGCAAAAACTTCGAAGATGAAGAAAGCGTCCTCTGGTCATCCGCTGAGATCAGTTGTCTCCTTTTGTTTCTGCCGTCTCTCTGAATCCATAATCACCATTTTTGCTTTAGCTCGTTCCCATTCAGCTGACGTTTGTCGGAGAGCGCCTTCACGCTAGCATCATTATGATCATCGTCGTCGTTATCGTCATCACTCAACTAAAAATATTAGATTCACCTCTCTTCATCTAGTTTTATCTGCAGGCAATTCTGCAGAGCGGCCGGGATCACATGTAGAACTCGGGTGATGATGGCGATGATGATGCGCCACTCGACAGCGATCCGCCCTGATGACCTTGATGGGGAGGACCTCCGCCCGGCCCTCCATGCTGGCCGTGCCCTGTGGGGCCATGATGTTGCCCTAGGTGCGGTGGTGGATGAGCCCCATGCGTGGGCCCCATGCCGTGTCCGACATGGGGCCCGTGTGGTTGCATACGAGTCTGCTGGATCACCTGTGGCCCGCCCTGGAGCATCAGCTGACCGTTCTGTGTGGAATGGTTTTGATTGCCACCTGATGATGGACCGCTGGTGTTCCCACTGCCGCCAGACTGTTGTACAACGCTGCCACCTGGTCCTCCGGCCGGTGCACTTCCGCTGCCACCTCCAAGCGCCATTTGTTGCCGGTAGAAGTCCCGCTCCTGACAAGTCCGTTCTAGCTCCTGGCGTAATCGGTTCACTTCCGCTTGTAGGAGCCGGTTTCGGCTCTCGAGCTCGTGACGTTTTGCCAGGCGCTTCGTGCGACAATTTTGCGCATAGCCGCGATTCTTTAGAGTTCGACGCTTCTGCTTGAGGCGAACCACCTCCTCCCGCGGAAATCCGTGGAGGCGTTTGTTGAGTTCGCGCACAGACAGCGAGACCAACAAGTCGTCGTCCAAGATATCGCGGCCACCGGCGCCGTTTTGTCCGCCCCCGCCAACAGCCTGTCCCGGCCCGAGGGGTGACCCCCCGCCGGATATCATGTGCTGTCCCATTGGCGCTCCATGTGTGCCATGCTGAGGCATCAGTCCGCCTCTGGGTGACATCGCCACACTGCCTACACCCGGTACACCAAGCTGGCCCAATTGTCCTGGGCAGCCTTCCAGATAATCGCGCCGCTGCAGATGAACCCAAGCATCAACATTTTCTGGCCGCAGGTCAAGAAGTTCTCGCCGAGGTGTTTGCCCCGTTCCGCAAAGGTTGGACTGCTGCTGAAGCCACAACAATCCCTCGGGATGGTCGGGGGGTGTTTCTGGTGGTGTACCCGGCTGCTCCATCTGACTTAGCACGAGAACCTGCTGGCCCGCATTGCCGCCGGAACGGGCTTGCATGGCGCGAAACTCATCGGCATCGGGGACCATTTCCTGTTTAACGACGTCCTCAAGATGATCCAAATCGAAGTCGCTACCGCCGCCGCCTCCCGGCCCTTGTGGCCCGGGGTGATGGTACGCAGCTGTCGGACCTGATGGGGCTCCAGTCATCTGGTGAACGACAGAGGGATGTTGTTGCTGCTGCTGCTGCTGCTGCTGCTGCTGTTGTTGTTGCGAGCCATTGGTATTGGCTAGATGACCGCCAGGCGGTGCCTCCATTCTATCTAGCGAATCTATCGTCGTGTCATCATCATCGGAATGGGGGTTGGTTACGTCTGTGTCCGCTGTGGCTGTCGTTGCTGCCGCAGCAGCCGGCGGATGACAGCTGAGGGAGCCATAATAGTCGAAAAATGGCGCAGGCGACGTGGTCGGCGCCTTCGGGGCAATGACGGAGACGTCATCACTGGCACAAAGCCAGTTGTTGTTCGGGGTGATGACACCTACGCCGACGGAGCGCACAACGGCGATGGCGTTGCTCTGGCTTTGCGGGTACGTCACCCCGGCAACCGGGTGCTCCTCGAGGGTCGCCACCTTCCGCGCGGTGGGCGCTCGACGCGCTCGACGACGCAACTCTCGGCTGTCCGTTGACTCTTAACACGACCACAGCGGCAGCACAATCACAATAACAAGAGCTACCACAGGATTGCCTCTGCCGCAGAAAGGACAGCCGCCAGCGGCAAGACAACGCCGATCTCTGCTGGTGAAACGTTAAACTCACAGGTCGAAGTTCTATCTGAGAATGGCAGCGCCAAAGGAGCCTAACAACCACACGGAAGACGATCAATGGTGATTTACTGACAATATATTGAACTTGGATGAACTGCTTCCGTTATCAAGTTAACTCCTTGAAGAAGAAGAGATCCAGATTCGGTCACGTGGCTTTCGAGGCAGTGCAACCTTTTTCGCTTTGTTTATAATGAAGGCTCAGAGATTTGAACGTAGTTTACACTCACATGCATATACAAGGAAGAACATATACAGACACGTAGCTGCTATGGATGCGGATGATAAACTCACTTTTAGATCAACCACCTTTCGTGTTATTGTTGTTGTCACAGAATTGGAATGTCTCGGGTATCCGGCCTGAAGCCAGCTTGAAGCTCGCTTATCGTTCACATGCCGATATTGAACGATAAAGATAGCTTGCTTGTCGCTACCTAAGCGATTAAAACAGCATTTTCTATTTGATAACTGCTGTTGCGATGATATCCTACAATTGATTTTAACATTCACTCTAGCTGATTACTAACATTTGTCACCTGCTACTCGTGATTTTTGCTTATTGCATTGTCTTTTTTATCCCGTTAAAGGCTTTACTAGTAGAAGTTGTTATCGTTGCTATTTCTGCTGCTGCTTCTGCTGTGGCTGTTTTTTCAGGGATGTTTAGTGTAAGTATCGGTTAGCGTGCGTCACACACCTGCTAGATATGTAGCACATATGGCAGTCCACACATTTCTAGTTTACGTTGATTCCAACATTCGTGCCCTCCTTGGCTTGCCTCTTTCGTATAACGTTGTCCTGCTCCACGCCTCGAACGTAGGGAACGAACACACGCACAATTTAGGTCCACTGCCACCACCACCACTGCGACGACGGCAGGCACCGAGAGGATACCTACAGGACACTGTTGTTCATCCAGTGGCGTTGACCATCATGCAGATCTAGCACTTAGCGTCCCGTTGTTTCAGATTGCGAACGGCGTATAGTGTCGTTTTTGTCGCAGCGTGCATGCAACGTATCGAACGGAACGTTGCAGAAGGCATCAGTCGTAGCAGCACCAGCTTTAGCAGAAGCAGCTAACATTCGTCGTCGTAAAGCCCTCGGACCGTGGTATCGGTCGCCGCAGGCCGCTCGACATGAAAAGGTGCCTAGTCAGCACGGCTTCGCAACGTGCCTGCCTATTCTGCGTGGCCCCTGCCTCAAAGGACCTAGCAAGCCCGCGCAAGAAGCCTGCGCCTGCATTACCATCCGCCGGCCACCGAAGCAACGACCATCACCGTGCCACAAGGCGGAGGCGGGGCGCTGACGTCACCGCGGCGCCGCACAGGGAGAGGGTGAGGCTGGGCGGAGCCTGCGGGAGGGCAACCCGCCACCCAGCACGGCGTTGATCGGCGTGCTCGCCCTGTCTTTCGGTAGTCGTTCCGTGGAAAACCAACACACGGGAAGTACGAACGCACGGACGCGCGAGGAAGCGCTCGAGGCACTCGATCGGCCATCATCACCCGGCCGTCAGCATCGCTGCCACTTCGTTTAGCGGCCACTGGCTGTCACCAGCAGCAGCGCTAGTAGCTGCCACGATGCTGCAATTGCCGCTGCAGGCAAAGCCGATGGCGATGGCAATTGTACTGGCTCATGGCGGCGGCCCGACGACGGCGCCGCTTGGGAACACTGGGAATGAACCGATAACGATGCGACGACCGTTTGCGCATTGGGCTTCCTCTAAAGCCTTTCGGAAATGGAGCAAGGAAAGAACAAGGAACCGAAGTTATCGACAGGTGCTAAGTCGCAAGTTCGCAAGACTCCGTAGGCCTAGCGGTTTTCGCGGAGCAAAAGCAAACTAGTAGGTCTTTGTGAGCTGCTGTTGGTGCCGCTGTTACTAATATTGTAATGGTTGTCTGTGGTTCACCGTAATATTACCACTAGACTGACGCTACAAAAAAAGAACGCGCTGTTTACGAAAACGACTCCATTATTATTTTTATTAGTATCAGGGCTCCAATTACTATTACTAGAGTAAATGCAATCAAAGGATATCTATCGAGGATACCGGCCAAAAGTTGCGAGTTTCATCTTGAATTTTGGCCAGAGATTACTCCAAAATTGATTTGCATGTAAACACGAAATTCAGACATAACAATGATAACAATCATTAATGATGCGAGATAAAGTCGTTCCACAAGGAAGCCAAAAGAAGCCTCTGCTTCTCAAAGAACCTGATCGCGTGCGAGATAATATAGGCTAGGCCAATCACGTCAAAGCGTGTCCGGCCAAGTCAACATAAGCCTGCGATGTTTCTGCTGACCGCCACCGCCTGCTATGACTGATGATACTGCATCTGTAGCTGTCGCTTGTCCGATTGTGGTAGCTGCGGTTTGCACGCTGCAGCAAGAGCGATACAACTGCCACGAAAACACCGCCTCCCCGCCGTCGAGGCCGCCAGACGCAGCAGCTGATATTGCTGCCGCTCTTACTATCTCTGCCACAGCGACTTTGCCAATGGCGGGACTGCCGCGGCCGTTGCCGTCGGCCACCGACCACCGCGGCTGTCGACGGCCACCACGAGGTAGGCGCGACTGGTAGCAAGAGCAAGATGGCCATCGGATAACGGCGATCGCGCACCGGCCGAGCGAACAGACGACCACCCTGCCCGGTTGTCTCTCTCCCTCTACCAGCACGAGCCTCTGCTGCCAAAACGGAAAACACAACATAATCATGCCATCATCCATGAAAAAGAGGATGGGGTTGACGCCCACAAACGATATCACGCAATAGACGGCAGGCGGCCTCACAGCGTTCGCACCGCACCTTCCTCTGTCCACCGTCAATATCCAGGCTTTCACAGCATCGATCTGATGACTGTGTCTGGAATCAGGCTCATTCGTAGTAATAAAACCGAGCAGAGACCACAAGGGCTACTAGCGAGTTGAACGTCTATGGGGACAATGAGTAAAAGGGTACAATCTAAGATGGCAGTGAAGGCACACGTATACTTAAAGCACATTGGCAGTAGCTGTAGACGTAAAAACGGAAAATGTACGAAGATAGAGCTGCACTATTTGCGGTAACAGAACAAGAGTCGCTAAACTAGAAGAGAAGATGAAAGGTTGTACCGATGCGTCGAACTTCCTTAATTTTTAGACAAATACCCGTTTAGATTAATTGTACTGATAACCAGTATAGTGGTAATATAACTAATGCATATAAGTACTTGTGTAAATCAATCTTGTTCCTCAGAAGGATTTTATCGATGACTAGGAATGACACGTTAAACACCTGCAAGTATATAAGTGTCAGACAATCTAAGGAACAATACAAGGTGAACCGCAGGGGACCGCGTGACTCGTATCGGTCATGAGCTCTAATTGATTAATAAAGACAACTGGACTAGCAGATCCCAAATGTAAGATTCAAATAGACTCGTAAAAGTACGAAAACTGTTTTACATTCAACAATGGCCAACATCTGTTGCAGCAAAAGGCTCAGTAATTCCTTAGCCATGTACAGCTTTGTACGTAGGCCAGCAAGAGTCCCAGCCATCAGTCATTTCTGAATGGGAATTTATTTCTTTTCGAATGCTCTCAAGCAAGATATGAACATTTTTTATCCGCTGTGACGTTTGATGATATAATCTCGTTTTTTTTCCTATTAGAAAAAATAGAACAAATTACGCTTAAAATATCTGTAATTTTAATAACTGCATAACGTAGCGGCAGTCGGCGTAGATCAGAATGGATGTCCTGGAAAAATGTCACATTTTTACACCAGGTGATATTCGACATTTCAATGGAGGGGCATTGTGCCTTTAGCTTTCTTTTATACATTCGTGTCCAACATTTTGACGGATTTTTTTTACTATTAATCGGTTCGCTTCGCTGAGACGATATGTCCTACGAAAGAATTTGTCGCACGAAACATGTCAAAACCACCATTAGGGTTAGCGTATTCGCTTGCAGCTGAAAAGAGTGAACCTAAAACACTGGCTAGGGGTAAACGAGGGTTGACTTCGAAACCCGAAGTCGACCTAATCTAGCAAGACTACTATCAGAAATCGAAATAAGTGCCCTACATAGGTCTCTTATGAAGATCGCCGCCTAATAAAGCGTCAAAAAAAAGCGATCACTTCATCCCAGCGTTTTCGCCCCATAACAGCGACGTAACATATTTGGATGAGCCATCGAATTATGAATGAACCAATTGCAGTAATTTTCGGCTTTTTTTTACTATCGTACCGTGTGGTGACGGTCTATATGACCTTACGGATAAAATCTATAAAACGTGTCGGTACAATATGACGTTCGCGTACAAGAAATTCAATCTAAACAATACAACCCAACCCATACGTGGGGAGGGTCATTTCGATATTTCATTTAAGAAATGGGAAGCTTGTGAGACGTCGCCTTACGTTCACCAATAGTGGCCGCAGTACATCGATCGGAAATAAATATCCTCAGATATAAAGGTAATGCAGTTAAGGTAGAAGTTTAATTACTCACGTAATGTGTAATAGGCTGGATCATCTGCGGCCCTGATCATTCCTTTTGCTGCGTGTCAAAAATCGAACGATAGCTTCGAGACTATACGGTAGCATCAAGCGTATTAGGCGGATGTTACGGCTCGTTCCTTCTTGGATTCTGAGTGGCTTCGACGAATACCACCGGTCTCGCTATTGCATTAGCATACATAGCGAATCAGGCGGATGCCAGCAGGTGTTGGAACGTAGGGGATGGAGAACAAGTAGGAGCAGAAGGGGGAAAGAAGTTACTCATCGCTTTGGCACAAAGCCAGCTCCAGACTGCGACAGGAGCTGCTGCGAAATGCCTCCAGGCGTACGAAGGATGTGGTCCGCCGGAGGTTAGTTGGGGTGTGGGCTGGCACAGCAAGTAGCCTTTTTATCTGACTTTAACCTTTCTATCGCAACCTATTTTTCTCAACCTCCTCTTTAGCCATTTTCGATCTTGGCTTTGAGGCCCGAGGAGGCGAAGGCAATTTAGATCCTCAATTTTATAAAATATTCCTAGATGACACGCAGAAATCAATGATAAATCTTAGGTAAAATGACAGCGATAGATGGATGTATCTATCGCGTACGATTTTGCTACTACTAGCATTATACAGAGCCGAGTGTTATGACGTGAGCCTTGATTTTCCTACCATAGTTGTTTGAGTCTTTATCATTGAACTGCTTCATGTTAGCTAACTTCGAAGATATTCGAGTTTATTTGGATAGTAATTAATAGACGAACGGAGGCCAAAAAAAAGTCTAGTTTGCCGTGATGCCAGCTGGAGCTTGTTTTAGGGTTGCAAGGTCGTTATATACACGATTATTTTAATCTTATTTTGAAGGGAAGCAAGAGAACTAAAGTTCTAGAACACACTCAACGGGTCGACGAAGGTATCTCGGCATTGCTAACGCATACGAAATTGCAGCTCAAAGACGAGACTTTTGCGATAGAAACGATATGAAAGAGTTGAAGCAGACACCTTTGACATATACGAGGCCAGCCTACTAGAGTTGATGCCAATCTGCGTTTTTGTCTCCTCTCGATACATATATATGTATATATACATACCCACATAGATATATGTGCGCCTTCGCTTCTGTGATGTGCAGTGTACACTTTTAGTCGGCACACGATGACGACAGGTGATGCTTTTTTTAAATTCACCCTCTCGAATTTTAGAGATGCTGAATGTACGTCGTCGAA